CCAGGGGAGGCTGGAGACGTCGAGTCTGAGTGGACTATGTTCTCCACTTACATTGTTGGCGCGGCTGTCCGACGCTGTGGTCGTAGGGTCTCTGGTGCCTGTCGTGGCGGAAATCCCCGATCCCGGTGGTGGACACCGGAGGTAAGGGAAGTCGTCAAGCTTAAGAAGGAGTCTTACCGAGCCTGGTTGGTTCGTGGGACTCCTGAGGCAGCCGACGGGTACAGGCCTGCCAAGCGGACCCTCTTTTAAGGGCTGTCCGGTCGGAGTAGGAGCTTGGTCCACATTGCCTGCAGTAAGTCGGACCTGTTCCCGGTGCATGTTGGACTACAGCAGGGCTGCCCTTTGTCACCGGTTCTGTTCATTATCTTTATGGACAGAATTTCTAGACGCAGCGAGGTGTCAGGTCGGGTCCAGTTTGGGAACCACCGGATTTCACCTCTGCTTTTTGCGGATGATGTGGTCTTGTTGGCTTCTTCGAGCAAGGACCTGCAACATGCACAGGGGCGGTTTGCAGTCGAGTGTAAAGCCACTGGAATGAGAATTAGGACCTCTAAGTCCGAGGCCATGGTTCTCGACCGGAGAAAGGTGGTTTGCACCCTCCGGGTTGGGGAGGAGGTCCTGCCTCAGGTGGAGGAGTTTAAGTATTTTGGGGTCTTGTTCACGAGTGACGATAGGATGGAACGTGAGATGGACAGGCGAATCGGTGCAGTGGCCGCAGTAATGCAGTAATGTAGAAGTGGAGTATCACATATCATCTCTCTTACAAACAACTACTTACCAATTTCTTAAATGTTGCATGGATAGTCTGCTTTTCTCTCTGGTTTCCATTGTAGAAAGCAATCTCTTCACTGGGGATAGAGAGAAAAAAAACAACTTTACTGTAAAACTTTATTTTAAAATTCTGTTCTGCACTGCTCAACATTGGATGGGTTTTAGTTGAACTATGTATTGCATTGCATATAAATTACTGGAGATGATGGATAAAAGTGACAGAATATCCAACATGATCAAAGGCTTGAGTAAACAGTCATATGAATAACAGGACATCTAAATAAAATATTTGTATCAACCACATGTCTTCACATCTAAACCGGTTGGAATAATACCAGAAACAAACTGATGATGTGTCATGCCTGTTTTTCATGCCTGTTTGTTGTATGTTACGTAGTGATTAAAAAATATTTATACTGATATTGACATCTAAGCATTTAGAATTTTAAGCATATCTTCAAGCTTGACTGAAATAAGTAGCAGTGTCAATACATGTACAGTATAAACCAAAAAAAAATTATTATAGAACATCCTTTTTTTACATGCTTTTTTTTTTACCAATTGTTGGATTTAAATAAGTATTTTAACAGGGTACTAAAACTAAATGGACAAAAGCAGAACAACATACAGTATATGTACGTGTACGTAACAGAATCCTAAATGAATTAAATTTCTGCACCCATATCTTACCTTTAAATAGTATTCAAGCTAGTAAGTGAAATCTAGTTATTCAAATAAATAATTACATCCCGAAATGTGAGCCTAGGAGCAAGCCTGTTGCGGTGCTTCTGTGCTTTATTTTTAATGTTGCATCATTACCTCGTTCTGGTTACAATCATTTAGTTCATCATTATATTATTATCATCATTTATTATATTACTGCAGACCAGAGTGTGTTTGTCTGTTAACCTGTTTGTGATGAGGCGGGAGTTGACATAGCGATACTCTCCCTCGTAGCGCTGCTCACTAACCGTCATCTTTCCAATTGGCCGCCTCAGTCTAGTAAGAAACAGACCTGAGATCAACAGGTAAGCCATCATGGCAGCTGGGCCCTATAAAATGGTGGTAGACAGAAACAAAGACATTGATTCTTTTCTTCCAGAAATGTTGAAATAATCACAGAGACCACATCTAAAACCCAGTATTATCTTTATCAATGAGCCATCAAGATCACTAAAAGATATAAGGCCTTCGTTCAGAGTCAAACCTATACATTTAATTGCGTTATATTGAAGAAAAGGCCTTCGTTCAGAGTCAAAACCTATACATTTAATTGCGTTATATTCCTTATGCTTTTTAACCATCTCCGACGCATAATCTTGGTTGAAGATTATTCATTCAGCCACATGTATTTTCCTCTTTTTCCAAGCTTTTCTCACTATCAACTCCTTGGTGGTGAACTCAAACAGGTTAACAACAATGGGTCTGGGGGATGCATCAGGTCGCAATCTAGGCATCAGGGTCTGGTGATCTTGCTTTATTTTGGGATCCATGTCTTCTGATGCTAGCAACTTGCTTTTGATGAATTTCTTTGTCCCCCACTGCCACTCGAAAGATGTAAGTTGTTTCTTTCCGACAGAGATTCTAAGTCTAATAGATTTTGCTGAAGGGATCTTTGTTATTTGAGATATGTGCCTCTTCTGCCTTCTATCCCTCCATCTGCGGCACCTTCTGCCGCAGATGTATCCTTTGATATAATTTTTTGGCTCATTAATCACACTGAGTACAAGTTTGTTCTGGTGTTCCTTACCACTGCTCCACTTTGGTTGTTAGCATGGGCTAATACAGTGTTGCTAGTGTTTGGCATGGAGTGTTTGTTTTTCTTCCTTCATTTTTGGCATTTTTCTGTTTGGGGAGCAGTAAGTCTTACTCCACCATCAATCCAAATAGATGGAGATGCTTTTGTCCATAACAATATCATATTAGCAAAATGTTTTATAGATGTGGCTTTCATATATATTTCCACAAACTTTTAAGTGATTGAAAGCTAAGTGATTTTTGTTAAATTATTTTTAATTTCTTCAGTTCTGTTCTATAATAATAAAACATTCAATACTAAATTGTTTTGTGTCCAGTATATCAATAAATTGGTCTGCAAGTACAGATGCAATTGGATACAAATACTGTAGATCTGGGACTCTCCGGGACTACCAAAAAGAAATGGTGGAGCAGATTGTAATGGTCAGAAATTATGCAGGGGGTGAAAAACTTTCCTTGCAGGGCTCTACTGTATATCATAAAAAATTATTTTTAATGTTTTCCTTGAGTAAAAAATGTCACAATTATAAGTTACAGCATAGTATAATGTTGAAGTTTCATAATTTATTCATGGAAATAAAATTTGCCTACTTTGGCACCGATGGCAGATGTCAGCTTGAAGATATATAGGATTATATCCAGAAGAGGCTGCAAACAAAAACCAGATAATACCATGAAAAAACAACACTTTTTTTTCAATTTTGGCAATTTTTAATACTTCTGATTTTAATGTTTCCTTCTTACCTTGCTGAGATTGGAATAAAGGTCCACTACACTGTTGCAGAATTTCTCCACATCTTGTGTAAGTAGCTGGTCAGCATTGGCTATCCTGTTGTCAAGATTTCCCATTTTGTAGAAGGTGAAACCTCTGTAAAACCAGAAAACATTGACTATCCAAGCCATAAATACACACACAAAATGAACAGAGATCCTGGACTTCCAAATATATATATTTTAAATCTGGGTTGAAAATGTTTACCCATTTTATTCTGTAAAAACTGTGTAAGGCCCAACAGTAGTACTTACTGCAAGTATTGGTCATACAAGTTCTTTGTGAGCCTTTCTCGAAACCTCAACTTCAGCTCATTTAAGCCCAACTTCAGAAAGTTGTTAACCAACGCAATCTGAAATGATCAAGAAAAAACAACCAGTGTGAGCTGGCCTCATGAACAAAAATGCTGGGTCACATTGGTAGAAGAAATCCAGTACTGCAAAATGTTATAATCAGTTATTATAGATACTTGAAATGCTTTTCTATTAACCTGGTATGACTGCCTGTCAGTAATGTGATTAAATGTGCTTACAATGATCTAAAAATGACCAATCTTTGATAAAATGAAACAATGGTCATATGAAATAACTACTTTACATTGATGTTGAAGTTTGTCAGAATTTATATTTGTTTTTTATATTTGTTTTTATATGTATATATGTGTGTGTGTGCGTGTCGGTAATATACCAAGGAAGGCTATGGAGTGAAGACACCATGATGGCAAGTCAAGGCTTATTGATTAACGTGGAGTACACCTGCGCTCTGCATACAATCCCTTGTTAATTAAATGGATTAAAAAAACGAGCTACAATGCTGCCATCTAGTGACTTTCACCTTCATTTACAGCCTTACAGCCAAAACTATTTTTAGGGTACAATTCATTTGGCAAACAACAAAAGCTACAATGTGGCTTCATCTTCAAAGTGTTTTAACAGAAAATGTCATGTAAATGTAAATGAAAAACTTACTACTGGCATGAATTTCATAAACTTGAACAAGAACATCTTGAAGTCTTCGTTTGATCGGCCAATAATTGCACTGCAAAACAACAGTAAACAACAAGTGTCAGTGAGCAAAACATCTAGGTCTCGTGAACTGTATTTCCTTCTTTTTAAAAGCAATGATGTCTATGTTGAAAAGCTAATAAACAAAACTTTCAAACACCTAATATAAATAAGTTTGTGCTATAATAGAGAGGATAACAATTAGTCAGAAGAAAGAAATGTACAGTAAAACAAAAAACAGTTGAAGTAGTTAACCATAGTTTTTTATCTCTGCAAACAATAAGGAGAAAAAACAATTTGTATTTGAAGGTAATGAGTGTGTGTGTGCATATATACTGTATGTATACACACACAAACACAGGTAGCCGGGGTGGGGGCTACCTAGTTGAGTATATATATAATAATATAATGCATATATATATAATCCTGAATATATAAATATATATATATGCAGAAAGTCTGTATATATATACAAAAAACCTGAAACCCTTTTGACCACAGTGCCCCAATCAGGGCAGAACTACGCCTGCTACCACCGACCAGGCGGCACAGGAGATCCCCATAAAACATGCCCCTGAATACGTCATGGTTATATTTGTAACCCGAGTATTCCAAAAGAAAACAGTGAATGCTGCGTAACAGAAAATGTAATAAATACGTTAAAGAGAATAAGAACAGATTACAGTCATACGATCGTTAATGATCTAAGATCACTGAATATCTATATATATATATATAGATGCATATACATATATTTCCTTCTATATATATATATATATTTATATATGCTGTATATACTGTACATATATATATACATAAATGTATATATACACTGCTCAAAAAAATAAAGGGAACACTTAAACAACACAATGTAACTCCAAGTCAACCCCACTTCTGTGAAATCGAACTGTCCACTTAGGAAGCAACACTGATTGAGAATCAATTTAACATGCTGTTGTGCAAATGGAATAGACAACAAGTGGAAAATTATAGGCAATTGGCAAGACACACCCAATAAAGGAGTGGTTCTGCAGGTGGTGACCACAGACCACTTCTCAGTTCCGATGCTTTCTGGCTGATGTTTTGGTCACTTTTGAATGCTGGCGGTGCTTTCACTCTCGTGGTAGAATGAGACGGAGTCTGCAACCCACACAAGTGGCTCAGGTAGTGCAGCTCATCCAGGATGGCACATCCATGCGAGCTGTGGCAAGAAGGTTTGCTGTGTCTGTCGGCGTAGTGTCCAGAGCATGGAGGCACTACCAGGAGACAGGCCAGTACATCAGGAGACGTGGAGGAGGCCGTGGGGGCGC